CCCAGTACCCACAACTAACAAATGTCAAGCTAAGTTCCACCCCAAAGCCACCAGTATTCAAATTTGGGCATATCGGGTATCCTTGCCAAATGTGGTGCAGATCCATCATTGTTTGTGTTGACAGTGCTCTCTGGATGTAGGTGAACTATAATTCCTATAAATCAAGTTGACCTTCTCCCAAAGCCTTCTTGCATTTTTGTTGGTCATGGGGGTTCTGTGTGTGAAGTTAGATCCAGGGCCATTGTTGGTGGGGTCCAGAGTGCTCTTTGATTGCAGGTGAACTATAAAGGCTATAAATCAAGGTGAAATCCCCCAAACCTCTCCAGTATTTTTCTTTGGTCATGGGGACTCTGCATGCCAAATGTGGTCCAGATCCATTGTCAGTGGGGGTCAGAGTGCTCTGATTTGATGCAGGGTGAACTACAACTTCCATTATGTGGAGTCAGTCCCCCAAACTCCTCCAGTATGTGTAGTTGCTGATTAGTTCTGCTCTGTTTGTTGTGCAGGCAGAGTTGAAAAGAATTAAGGGAAAGGGTTAAGGGAGAAGCAGTGGGTGGGGTGATGCAAATTCCACACCAATGGAGAGAGAAAGGAACACTGGGAGGTGTCTTTGGTGGAGGAAAACGTAAAATCTAGGATGAAATTGTCCCTGAATGAAAGCATTTCTTGGGTAGTGGGCTGTAGTGTTTGAGGAGGACATTGGCAGGGGTTGGGCAACATGTTCATGGTGCTTGCTATAACCTGCACTGTCATTGGAGGAAGTGCTTTTGGTGGCTTCTCAGCACTGTGGATTGTAGCTGTTTGTGGGGGCAAGAGGCTGTCTACACATACATATTTTCACGTTTATTATGCGTATAGATTTTAAATAGAAATAATCCCCTTTTTTCTCCATCTGCAAGTGACAAGTTACATTGGGCAAAATGTGCGTATTCCAGTATGAATGCCATAAGCTTTCTGAATCTATTTATAGCATTCAGTAATTTATAAAGGTTAAATGTAATCCAGACTGTAATGTTAGCATTTTCCCTGCTGATACCGTGATGCCGAAGACTGGCAGGCTAGCCTTGTTCAAGGTTTGGGAGGGTTAACAGCTTCCAGAGCCTTGGGCAGCAGGGCCATCTATGGTGAAGGCCATATAAGTGTCCACCTGATTGGATAGACGACCGTGATAAGTGCTGTGACAGGTGTTGGCCAAAGCTACACCTGTTTTCCCTGTGTATGTATGCTGAGCTAGTGGGGGTTTCTTGCACTGTATGTGGGACATACAATGCCATGCCAAGTAACCTGAGAAGGAATTATATCTTAATGGTACCTTGTGATCTTTGCACAATTTGATTCCATTACATTGCTCAAATGTATCATAACATCTAATCTTGATCGTTGTTACGGAAAGGCAGTTGCCTCTGAATCTGATCTGATTTTACTTTCTGTCTTTACCTCAGAAATATACTGTATATACTTGAGTATAAGCCTAGTTTTTCAGTCAATTTTTAGGCTGAAAAAGTCTCCCTCGGCTTATACTCGAGCCAAGTTTTTTTTATTATTTTACTCTATTATTATTATTATTATTATTATTATTACATTAATCATTTTACTCTATTATTATTACATTTATTATTTTATTCTTTCTTGTTATTATTACATTTATTATTGTACTCTATTATTATTATTATTATTACATTAATCATTTTACTCTATTATTATTACATTTATTATTTTATTCTTTATTGTTATTATTACATTTATTATTTTACTCTATTATTATTGGAAGGATATGTAAACACATTTACACTGAAGAAGGTTAGAATAATGCTTTAATCAGAGGACAGTCTTATCTTAACTTCCAGTTTTATTCAAAAACATTTAACCTACCGATGCCTCAATTAATGCAATTTTATTGGTATCTATTTTTATTTTGGAATTTACCAGTAGCTGCTGCATTTCCCACCCTCGGCTTACATTTGAGTCAATCCATTTCCCCAGTTTTTTGTGGTAAAATTAAGTGCCTCGGCTTATATTCGAGTCAGCTTATACTCGAGTATATACGGTATTTCAGGAAAGCAAACATGTAGTTGAACAGTTATGCTTTAATTCTAATTGGCACATTATTAGCTAGTGTCATTTGTGAAAGAAATTCCAGTCACTGTATTGGTGAGAGATTGCAATCACAAGCCAGAGTCGAATCAAATCTGTGAAAGTTTGCTTGGAAAATTTACAGTGTAACTCCTCCTTTGGCATTTATAAAGTCTGAACAATAGTTTTGATCAGAGTCTGACTACTTTCCATAGCAAAATGCTACGACTATTCATGACAAAATTGGCCGGAATAGAAATGATCAGGTCCTTCTGGAAATACTGGATGCTTATTCATTACTTATCAACCAAACGCCATTTCTGGTTCATAAAGTGAGCTTGCCAAGTGCATAGAATAGTAAGAAAGAAAATTAGGTTGAGAACATTCTGTTCCATCTTTGAAGTGTAAAAAAGTGCCTGTATTTTATCCTGGTGGTCATCTTATAGGCACTTCTTAGAGCCACTTTGTGTTTCAGATAGCTCCTTTTCTGCAACTTGCAAGCAGGTCTTGAACAAACTAGGACAAGATGGGCTGGCCAGTGTTCCTTGGTGTTCTATTTTTACTAGGATTTCTTTGAAAACATATTCAGAATTGACAGCGAAGGAGAGCTTTCTCAGATAAAAGCCTTTCATCTTGTATTGTTCAATTGGAGAAGACCTCATGTTGATCTCTGCATTGCCTGTCAATGAAAAATGTTTTGGTTTCTGCTCCAAAACAGGGCGAACAAAGGTCTCCAGGGAAGCATTTGTGCCTAGATGGTCTACTGTCTAAATTATCAGTTTTCAGCCCTTTCTGTTATTCTCAAAGTAGGATTGAAACTCACCAGAGACAGGTCCAACCCAATTCCGATCACGCCATATTGGCCCAGACAACTGGTTTGTTCAGCTTCCCCACCCAGAAGCTATCTCATGTCCCTTCCCAGATGCCAGACTCGCTTCCATATTCAGAAGGCCAAGTTCTCTGTCCCAGCTTCAAAATGCTATGATTCACAGCTTGGAGAATAACTATAACTTTGCCCAAGCTCACAGAAATCCATCAGCATCTAGGAAAGCAACAGGTCCTATCTGTTAGGGAAAACTACCCTAAAATAAAGCAGAGCATCCAAAAACATAAACATGTTACCTATAATTTGAGTATCAGCTCATGGCAAGCAAAGAGTGATGTGCCGTGTGATGTGGCTGTTAAGAATTCAGAGCTTAGGAGGCAAACATGCACAGTCCAATCTTAAAACATCACAAAAGGTTTATTTACAACTAGCCGTCCCCTGCGATGTGTTGCTGTGGCCCACATGGGGGTTCTGTGTGGGAGGTTTGGCCCAATTCTATCATTGGTGGGGTTCAGAATGCTCTTTGACTGTAGGTGAACTATAAACTCCAGCAACTGCAACTCCCAAATATCAAGATTCTATTTTCCCCAAACTCCACCAGTGTTCACATTTGGGCATACTGAGTATTTGTGTAGAGTTTGGTCTAGATCCATCATTGTTTGAGTCCACAGTGACCTCTGGATGTAAATGAACTACAACTCCAAAACCAAAGGACACTGCCCACCAAACCCTTCCAGTATTTTCCGTTTGTCATGGGAGAACTGTGTGCAAGTTTGGTTCAATTCCATAGTTGGTGGGGTTCAGAATGCTCTTTGATTGTAGGTAAACTATAAATGGCAGCAACTACAACTCCCAAATGACAAAATCTTTTTTTTAGTGAAGGACATACATTGGGTTTTTAGGTGTCTTGTGTCCAAATTTGATGGCAATTCCCCCAGTGGTTTTTGAGTTCTGTTAATCCCACAAACGAACATTACATTTTTATTTATATAGATAATAATAATCAAGAACTGCGCCTGAGCTACTCTAACGCCCATCTCTTCTAAGATTTTAAGAGAGGGGCAAATGTAGTTTTTAAAGTAGATTTTAAGAGAGTGTAAAATGTAGTTACAGTAACTACATTTCTCCTGACACACAAGCAGAGAGAGATCTCAAAGCACACATCACTTACTCTCCATACTAAAATGTAAGAGGGTAGAAGTTAGATTAAAAAAGGTTTAAGTAGAAAAGCATCCATTTTACACAACCAATCAGAATGAATAGAATCATAGAGTTGGACGAGACTTTGAGGGCCATCCAGTCCAACCCCCTGCCAAGAAGCAGGAAAATCACATTCAAAACACCCAAAGCAAATCAAGAATGAGAGCAGAAACCGAGAGAAGAAATTAGATATATTCCCAACTCATTCAAGAGACATGGGGGAAGGGAAATCCTCAGTCTATTCTAAATGGACTAAACTGTTTCTCATTGAGGACTTGAGACTTGGGCAGTATGGGGTTGAATTCCAACATTTATCACAAGTGGCTGTGTTCCATTGGCGTCTTCCAGATCTGAGCTTCCTTCTTCTGTGTCCATCTCAACAGGTTCCTGATGCACCTTTGCAAATGAGGACAGGCAACCCCATGAAGTTCAAAATATTTTCTTAGGCGAAGAATACATTGAGATGGTTTTGTCAGTTCCATCCTTTGAAATGTAGCCTATAGTACATTTGCGTCATCCAAGTGTTTTGACTTCAACTCCCACCATTCCTCACAGCTTCAGGCCCATCCCTTTCCCCCCTCAGCCACATAAGTGGCTGGGGGGAAAAGGAAGGGGCCTGAGGCTGTGAGGAATGGTGGGAGTTGAAGTACAAAACACCTGGAGGGGCCAAGATGGCCCATGCCTGTACGATAGTACCTGGTATTAGATTATTATAAATGGGGTATGTGCGGGGATAGTATGTCTGTTAAGAGTACTGAAAAGGTGTTTGGAAACCATTCTTGTAAGTCATTTTGGGTGTGAAAGTCTCTGTCCTCTTAATGCAGATGTGCAGCTTTTAAAACTCAAACAAAATTGGCAAGTTTAGTATTGTCTGTGTGTGAATTTTCCAATTGTATTTCAGACTTTAAGAAAGAAAGGCCTTAATGGTTGTGAGAGCCCTGATGCTGACGATTACTTTGAGCACAGTCCACTCTCGGAGGACAGATTCAGCAAACTAAATGAAGATAGTGATTTTATTTTCAAGCGAGGCCCTGTAAGTACTTTTTTTTTTACCTCCTACTTTGTATTTGTTGATTCTTTTTATTAACTTCGTTATTTAGGCTCTGAACAAGAAGGAAAACAGAGGGTGCGACAGCCCAGACCCTGACACCTCATATGTGCTCACGCCACATACAGAAGAAAAATATAAAAAAATTAATGAAGAGTTTGATAATATGATGCGGAATCATAAAATCGCAGTGAGTACTGTGGTATGGCTTGTGCTTTCATTACATGCATGAGAACATATTATGATACCACCCTAACACTGACAATTACAATATTGGATGGCTATGAGAAGCCAACAGTGGAGGCAGTTTGAGTGCTGTATAGTTATGGGATATAAGCACTGGAGGGAGGAGAGCCTTTGGGGGTGCTCTGTTTCCTAAGAAATTATCCTTTCAGGAAAAAAAGATTCTCCTCCTCATGAGCAGCTTGAAGAATATAAGGGTTGCCGTACACAGTTGAAATCACTCAAATCTCCACTGTTAACCATTCAGGGCTCAGTCTAGGTTTCATTCTCCTTCATTTTATTCTAAGTATACAGCCATTTTGGATTTGAACAAATGCCCAGGATCCCATTCCAATAGTGATTAATTAAATCTCTGTGGGAAACCCCCATCAGGATATGAATGAAATAACACTGTCCGCTTGTGACCCCAGCATCTGGTATAAGTAAAGTAAAAGTAAAGGTTTCCCTTGACATATATTGTATTGGCATGAAGTCTAGTCGAGTCCAAATCTGGAGGGTGGTGCTCATCTCCATTTCCAAGCCGAAGAACCAGCATTGTCCATAGACACCCCCTAGGTCATGCGGCCAGCATGACTTCATGGAGTGCCATTAACTTATTTATTTATTATTATTTACAGCTATTATTATTATTATTATTATTAACTTTATTTGTACCCCGCTAGCATCTCCCGAAGAACTCGATGCAGCTTACAAAGGCCAAGGCCTCAACAAACAATAGCATAACAAATGCAATACAAAGCAAATCAAAACATCAAAACATTAAAGCAATAACAGTAAAACAACATAACGCAATAAAAATAAAAACGGCCGGGCCAAAGTAATGGGTACAGATTAAAAAGTGCTAGGTGTGACAGGTGATCTATCTGATTTCAAGGAAGTGCAATGTGCAGATAATCTTAAAGTTCTAATAAGGTGCTTCTGGGACTCTAATAAAGTGCTTGCTGGAGTTTCCTATTCTGGAAAGGCACATCGGAACAGCCGGGTCTTCAAATTCTTCCTAAATTCTTTATATTCCGCCCTTCTCACCCCACAGGGGACTCAGGGCGGATTACAGTGTACACATATATGGTAAACATTCAATGCCAATTTTTGACATACAAACATATACAGACATAGACAGAGGCTATTTAACTTTTTCTGGCCGCCAGGGGAGCTGTCGCTTTCATCATCCATTTGCAACGCTGATGAAGCACTTTCACATTCCCCCACTCCAACCCAGGCTGGCTTTGAACTCATGACTCAGAGTGATCTTAATGCAGCTGACACTCAGCCAGCTGCGCCACAATCCTGCCACCTTCCCTCTGAGGTGATACCTACTCACATTTCATGGAATCATAGAATCATAGAATTCGAAGAGACCTCATGGGCCATCCAGTCCAACCCCCTGCCGAGAAGCAGGAATATTGCATTCAAAGCACCCCTGACAGATGGCCATCCAGCCTCTGTTTAAAAGCTTCCAAAGAAGGAGCCTCCACCATACTCCAGGGCAGAGTTCCACTGCTGAACGGCTCTCACAGGAAGTTCTTCCTCATGTTCATATGGAATCTCCTTTCTTGTAGTTTGAAGCCATTGTTGCACGTTCTAGTCTCCAGGGAAGCAGAAAACAAGCTTGCTCCCTCCTCCCTGTGACTTCCTCTCACATATTTATACATTTGCATGTTTTCAAACTGCTAGGGTGGCAGAAGCTGGGCCTAACAGCGGGAGCTCACCTCACTCCGCGGATTCGAACCGCCGACCTTTCGGTTGGCAAGTTTAGCAGCTCAGCAGTTTAACCCGCTGAGCCACCAGTGGGGCCAGGTATCTGGCATACAGGAAGATAGTAATTATGAGACTGGGGATTATATTTGATCATCATGACTAATAGCTATTGATTGCTTTCCATTGAATACCTTCACTTGGTTCATCCCACCTCACATGATTGTTGATTCTCTCAAAAACTCAGAAAGGCTAGAGAGGTGTGACTTACCTTTTCTGAAGCCAGATTGATGTTTTTTGGAATTCTGTCCTTCTATATATTTGAGAACCAATATATCTAAAGTGATGTATTCCAAACCTTGACTCAGGCCCAGACATAAGTTAACTGGCCTATGATTTTCTGGGGAATGTTATACTGGTAATTTGCCTCGGATGCAAAGACTAATTTGGGGAAAATGCTACATTTTAAGAAAGCTGTCTTGAGTTGCTGAAGGCTTTCATGGCTGAAATCATTGAGTTGCTGTGAGTTTCCTGGGCTGTCTCGCCATGTTCTGGAAGCCTTCCCTCCTAATGTTTTGCCCACATCTGTGGCAGGCATCCTCAGAGGTTGCTCAAGCAGGGAGCTTTGAGATGGTTGAACAGAAGCTATCCGAAGCTCTAGGTGCTCTTACTGCCTATTAGAGGGAAAACCAGCTGATCCCTAATCCATCTAAAACACAGACATGTGCTTTTCACCTTAAGAACAGACAAGCATCCCGAGCTCTGAGGATTACCTGGGAAGGAATCCCACTGGAGCATTGCAGCGCACCCAAATACCTGGGAGTCACTCTGGACCGTTCTCTGACCTACAAAAAGCACTGCCTGAATATCAAGCAAACGGTGGGTGCTAGAAACAATATCATATGAAAGCTGACTGGCACAACCTGGGGATCACAACCAGACACAGTGAAGACATCTGCCCTTGCGCTTTGCTACTCTGCTGCTGAGTATGCATGCCCAGTGTGGAACACATCTCACCACGCTAAAACAGTGGATGTGGCTCTTAATGAGACATGCCGCATTATCACGGGGTGTCTGCGCCCTACACCACTGGAGAAATTACACTGTTTAGCTAGTATTGCACCACCTGACATCCGCCGGGAAGTAGCAGCCAATAGTGAAAGGACCAAGGCAGAGACATCTCCAGCTCATCCCCTGTTTGGGTATCAGCCAGCACGTCAACGACTTAAATCAAGAAATAGTTTTATAAGATCTACAGAGACACTTGCTGGAACACCTCAGCAAGCGAGAGTCCAAAAGTGGCAGGCTCAAACCCAGAACCTCAATCAATGGCTGATACCAAATGAGAGACTCCCTCCTGGGCACACAGAAAACTGGGCAACTTGGAAGGCGCTGAACAGACTGTGCTCTGGCACCATGAGATGCAGAGCCAACCTTAAGAAATGGGCCACAAAGTGGAATCCATGACATGCGAGTGTAGAGAAGAGCAAACCACAGACCACCTGCTGCAATGCAACCTGAGCCCTGTCACATGCACAATGGAGGACCTCCTTGCGGCAACACCAGAGGCACTCCAAGTGGCCAGATACTGGTCAAAGGACATTTAATCAACCATGTTTTATCTGTCTGTTTGTTTGTTTGTTTTGTTAAAAATGTAATACAAATGTCTGGTCCCTCCTGACATGATAAATAAATAAATAAATAAATAATCCTCAGGGGTTGTGAGACCTCACAACCTCTGAGGATGCTTACCATAGATGTGGGTGAAATGTGAGGAGAGAATGCTTCTGGAACATGGACACACAGCCTGGGAAACTCACAGCAACCCAAACTATCTTGAGTTTCTTTTGTTATGTATCGTCTCAGTTCAATATTGCAAATAAACAAAAATCTTCTGCTATAAGTGGTAATTCAAAATTCTAAATGTGTTACTAGAAAAGTGGGGCTTCTTTGAAAAGAAAGTAATTTCTTTGACATAAAATACGTATGTCTTATGGAATTTGAGGGACTAAATTTTGCCATGGTTAGCTCTCTTTTGTTGAATTCTTTGAAAAGGGTTTGACCTCTCTTAACGGGATTCTCAAGAACATGACAAAACTGAATTCCCAAGTTTTCCTGTGAAAAGTAAGGAACAATTTGTTTCAAACGGACCAGACTTAGGATTCCTGGATAGACTGTGCCCTAATGCATTTCCATTATGTTTCTTTAGCATAATGGAGTTGCCCAAGGGCTGAGAAAAGCGGTATATAAATGAAGTAAATAAATAATAATAAATAGCATTAGTTTAAAGCAGGTATGGGCAAACTTGGGCCCTCCAAATGTTTTGGGCTTCAACAAAATTGTTAAATAATTCTTTTATTTTGTACAACACCAAACATCTAGTATTTTGGAGTTGAAGTCCAAAATACCTGGAGGGCCCCAGTTTGCCAATGCCTGGTTTACAGTGTACACAAAAAAAGTAATTTTGCTCTGAGCCACTTTGCCTGGCATCATCCAAGAAGAGGTGTTATTCTTAGTGTTGGTTGTGTATTGCGTATTCTTGCATATGACCAAACCAGGTCTGTTCTGCAATAGTTGAAAGTTGTGAGAATTTAGTGATTTGCATGGACGTACATTTAATTCCAGGCTGGCTGCCAAGAAAATGTGTCCAAAGTTGACGTGTAAAACATTTTCAAAGTGATGCATCTTCTTAATTCTCTGCCAAGTAGAATTTCCTTAACATTTTTATCATCAAGCTAAAGTAGTTTTCCTTTTCATTCCCCCCAAATAATATGACTAACATTTTTTTTACATACTGTATTATTCCTTTAAAATACAAATTGTTAAAGTAATATGATGCACAGTTTCTGTGTTCTTGATAAGGTTGAATGTTAGTTCATAATGGTATGTGGCTAAAGCTAGTGATGTAAAAAAAAAACCAATATTTTCAAGTTATAATGAAGTGGTGATCGGTTAAACTTTACAGAGAAAGAATATGTGTTGGGGAGTCTGAGCTGTTAGGCTGAAAAATAACCCTGAGTTGGGCAATTCCAATAAAATATAGCAGAATACCAGGAGTAAACTCCATAACCAGCAGAAACTTATGTGTGGTGAGCTGGAATAGGCTTCTATTCCTTAGGATGGCAGAGTCAGAACTTTAGGTCCATTTTTTTTTTTAAATAAAAGAAATAAATTCTTGATAGAAAAGGTCTTGGAGCTCACTAGTTTACTAAATCTCACTTTCTAAAGAAGGTAAAAGATAAAAAGTCAATGTAGCTACATTTTGCCTAAAGAGAGACAAAATACATCCACACTGGGAGAAAGAAAAGCAGAAGAGGCATAGAGGAGACCGCATGGTCTTCCCAGGGCAGAATTCCAGAAGTTCCCTCACAGAATTCCATTACTATGCCATCAAAGGGGGAGAGACAGTGGTTGACAGTCAAGAAGAAAGACAAAGCCCCTTAGGAAACATGTATAGGAATGTGTGGAAAGGAATCGCTAAGCTTAGCCCTGTCTCTAGTCTCGCTACTCAGAGGTTAGGGTCATCGCAGGTGCAATTGGCAGGGACGAGAGACAGGGCCTTCTCAGCGGTGACTCCTCGGCTCTGGAACTCTGTCTCCAGGAAAATTAGATCAGCGCCCTCCCTCCTGACCTTTAGAAAGAGAACAAAGAAGTGGTTGTGGGATTAAGCCTTTGGCTAGTAAAATAATGCAGTACAAAGAATAATTAAGGAACATGTGCAATGACAACTCGGAATGGCTATGATATACGATTTCTGGATCATGGAATTTTAATGTTTATATTAGGGTGATTTTATGCCTTGTCTGAATGTTTAAATTTTATATATGTCTTATGTTTAATGGTTTTGATTGAATTTAAGTTAATATTTATACATATACATACATACATATGTTCAATTTATTGATGTTAGGTTTAATTTATTGGTGTTAGGTTTAATATTGTTCTCATATGTGGGGTTTTTCTGGGATTTTACATCGATATTTGTTTTATAGAGCCATTGAATGTTTGCTGTTGTATGTTGGAATCCACCCTGAGTCCCCTCAGGGAGATAGGGCGGAAAACAAATAAAGTTATTATTATTATTATTATTATTATTAGTAGTAGTAGTAGTAGTAGTAGTAGTAGTTCATTATTATTATTATTTCTTTGTGTGTGTTGGCATTGAAATTTTGCCATTAGTATGTTGTAAACCACCTTGAGTCTCCCTTACTCATTGAGGACTAGAAACTTGATGACACAAAGACTTGTTCAGTCCAGGAATGAAACCCAACCATATGTGGTTGTTTTCATTAATCTGGGTTTTGTCTTGCAATGAGACAAGGACCAAAAACATTCATATATAAACTTTCAGGAAGGATTTGAAGGAAATTGGAAAGGTGGACCAATACATTTTCCCAATTATACTACAATGGATTATTGAAGGCTTTCATGGTCGGAATCTCTGGGTTGTTGTGTGTTTTCCGGGCTGTATGGCCATGTTCCAGACATGAAACAATCAGGGCTAGCTAATCACCCCCCAACAAAGGATTCCCCCAGGCAGTAAGAAGCCAAACCTTGAATACTGCTAGGCCATTCAATGCTAATCAAGGTAGCCAAGTGCTGCATTCACACCTACCTTAAATAGATAAGAGTTATTTCTCCAACCCTGGACATTATTTCATATATATACCGTATATTCCAGCATATAAGACGAGTGGGCGTATAAGACAACCCCCAACTTTTCCAGTTAAAATATAGAGTTTGGGATATACTCGCCGTATAAGACTACTCCTCTTCCAACGCACACCAAATAAAAATTTTAAAAGCATGAGATTTGATTTCAATATGGTAATTTTCCTATTACTGTACCTCTTCCTCTGCCTCTCAGATCTCGCATATGCGCACCTGCACCTCTTCACTGCAGTCTTCAGGAGCGAGATCTGAGAGGCAGAGGAGGAGGTATGGTAATAGGATACAAGGGCGGGCCAGGCAGGTAAAGGAGTTGTGTTTTTCTGGGTCCAGAGCCACTCTATCTCTTTTTACCATATCCCAGGTGCCCTGGAAGCTTTCAGCTTGCAGCCATTGCCATTTTTGAGCTCCCCCACCATATACGGCAACCACAGATTCTCCAATCTGATTGGAAGTTTCAGCACCTGTTCTATAAGACTACTCCCGTGTATAAGACTACTCCCACATATAAGACGACCCCACATATAAGAAGATCCCTGACTTCTGAGAGGATTTTCTTGGGTTAAAAAGTAGTCTTATACACCAGAATATACGGTGTATACCCCACTTTCCTAGTTTCCAACAGACCTCATAACCTTTGAGGAGGTCTGTCATAGATGCAGGCGAAACGTCAGGAGAGAATGCTTCTGGAACATGGTTAAACAGCCTGGAAAACACACAACCCATACTGCTGTGATTTTTACACAACGCATACTCTTCCAAATTAAGTGGCATTGTATTATAATTAAATTTCCCCATTTTCACCTTACATACAGTAATACAGTATGTTTGAGAAAACAGTGGGCAACTTTAGGGACAGGAGGTGCTATAGGGACTCTGGCATTCTTTAGGGGCCTTCCCTGCGACTGAACTATTAGGTTTTGTTGGTGTTCAGAGTTAAAAGGGAGGGGGTGGGAGAGCCAGTTTCCTTTGAGAGTAAGGGACCTGTATTGTGGCAATAGGCGTATCAAGCAGGGAGTATCGGGCAAGGACGTGGCCTGAGAACAGTTTCACAAACGCATACCAGAGTAATAATAACTCACATTAACGTTTTACAATTTTTTGAGAACTTTTAAACCTGGGAGCTGCACAGGACTAAAATCTAATTTGTGAAATCTAATTTGCTGTGAATGTTTTTAAAATTGCATTTCTACGAGGATTTTTTCCCTAAGAGCATAACTTTCATTTGCATGTTTAAGTATTCTGAATTAAAATTTTGTGATTATTAAGGCATACATTTTGGAAATAACAAACATTATATATATATCTTTTAAAATGCTTGTCTGGGCCTAATGGGTCGATGTCAGTAATGTGTTCCATTGTTTTCTTGGCACTACTTCATAAAACATGCTTCTATCTGGTGAATTTGCCAATGGGCTAAAGCAGGCATGGGGCAACTTTGGCTGTCCAGATGTTTTGGACTTCAACTCCCACAATTCGTGGCCTCAGGCCCTTTCCTTTTCCCTCTTATCTTTTATCTCACCGAGCTTTTAACTAGTTTTAATTAGTTCTTCTTTTAACCATTACATGTGACCCACCCATTGTCAGTGTGTTTGTGTTTATTGTAATTTTATATTGTTGTATATTCATATGTTCTTTGTAATTATGATGTTGTTTATTGTTTGCGTTTTCGGTTTGCATTCGGTAGTTCTTTATTGTAATTGTTGTTCGGGCTTGGCCCCATGTAAGCCGCTCCGAGTCCCCATCGGGGAGATGGGATGGGGTACAAATAAAGATTATTATTATTATTATTATTATTATTATTATTATTATTATTAAGTAGCTGAGGGGTAAAAGGAAAGATCCTGAGGCCAGGAATTGTGAGAATTGAACTCCAAAACACCTAGAAAGAGGGCCGAAGTTAGCCCATGCCTACGCTTAATGGTTTCTAATCAGTTTTGAGAATGCCGTGTGGTGTTGTTATATGTAACAACTATCAGTACTTTGCATTGAATGATTTGTGATGAATGTGGAGGCTCTTTAAGTAATGTGGAAAGTTAGTACTTTTCATTATGAGTTGAAACTTGACGAAAAGCAAGCCTCTAAACCAAACTCACCTCCTTTCCCCCCGTTCTTTTCAGCCTGGGTTGCCTCCGCAGAACTTCTCCATGTCGGTCACGGTTCCTGTGTCCAGTCCCAATTCTTTAACCTACAGCCACCCTGGGACCTCCCTTGTCTCTCCGGCACTGGCCGCCAGCTCTACTTTGACGGACACCACCATGCTGACCCCTCCTCAAGCCTCCTTGCACCGAAACGTATCGCCTGGGGGTCCCCAAAGGCCATCCAGCACAGGCAGCGCAAGTGAGCATTTTTTCCCCCTGTACATGAAATTTCAACTGACTTTAAGGCTTCTAATAATTTCATTACATAGTAAACACATGTTTTTCTCCTTACTCCCTCTTAGGTGGTATGTTGACCACAACAGATCTCTCAGTGCCAAATGGAGCTGTTTCGAGTCCAGTGGGTAAGTTGCAAAGCTTTCCATCTCAAGAACAAATTTAATGGTGGGATCAAAAGTGTCACTTAACGAGTCTGATAAGGAATGTTAATCTTTATAGTGTGAGTGCTAGGATGTGTGTGTCTGTAAGTTCAGTACTGGAGCACTCATTTGCAATCAGCATCTGATTCTGTTCAGCTCTCAGAGAGTCTGGATTCATCTTGAGTTTGCTTGGCGTGTTTCCATCTCATTATTAGAGTGTGGCCTTGGCAGGGCTTTGGAAATCTAGGTTTTCTTCAATTCCTTGTACTATTGGTGGGATTGCAAGTGCTTTATAAAATCCATTGTACAATCTGATACCATACTGTGTTGGTCTGTACAGAAGGTGGAATTCAATCTGATTTGGACCACTTTGTACATAATGGCAGTGGCATGGAGGAACTGCTGTTACATATGAATGCATATAAAGCCCTAAGTGGTTCCGGCCCAGTTTACCTGTCTGAACGTATCTCCCTCTGTGATCTGCCTCGGAGGTTGAGATCATTGGGGAGGCCTTGCTTTCAATTCTACCCCCCCTTCAGGCGCGACTGGTGGGAATGAGAGACAGGGCCTTCTCGGTGATGGCCCCTCGCCTGTGAAACTCTCTCCCCAAGGTCATCCCCCTCCCTCCTGACCTTCAGGAAAAAGGTTAAGACATGGTTGTGGTCCAAGCATTTGAGCAGTAATTGTAGCACTGCGATAATGATAATGAACTAATGTGATTGACAAATGGGCAGGCCTGGGACTACGAGTTGAATTTGCGTGATTTTAACTGTTGGTTTAATAATTGATCTTTCAATTGATTCGATTTTAATGGATTTGTTTATTTTCGGATTGATGATATGTCTTGGCATCAAATTGCTGCCTGTTGTAAGGCTGCCCGGAGTTCCCTTCCGGGTGAGAAGGGTGAGGTACAAATGTGGAAAATAAATAAATAATAAACAAGTGCAGAAAGCATTTGGGCACCCCTCCAACTGCTCCCTTTTCCAAGGGACTGCCATGATTAATTTTGTTGTCCAGTCGCTTTTCTAATGTCGCAGTTCCTTTCTCCTTCCATTTTCCTCCTCTTATTTGCAACTAACTTCAATTTATGCAATTAGAATTTTCTAAGGGCACATCTACACTGTAGAATTAATGCACTTTAACATCAGTTTAACACAGGGGTCCTCAAACTAAGGCCCAGGGGCCAGATACGGCCCTTCAAGTTCATTTACCTGGCCCCTGCTCAGGATCAACCTAAGTCTTCCTAAGTCCACTTTCAGGATAAATGCTCAAACATATGTGAGAATATTAGATCGCGCAGGCATATTTTCATACCTATGTGCTTCTTGGATAGTAGTGATAGCATGGCTCTTTGCTTTTATGAGTGTGCAATATGCGTAACTTTCTGAACGGCATAGTGAACAGAATAGTCACCAAAACAGGAAGAAAATCAAGCTCTGTACGCGTTCGGGCGTCAGTTTTCTTTTTCTTGCACTTGTTGACAAGCTGGGGAGTTGTGCTCTGGGCTCAGTCAGTGCGGAGGCATCTGTGTTCCAGTTCTCAAATTACCGGAAGATAGCAGGAACACCTGCTGCCAGCATTACTTGCCCACTCCCAGCATCATTCAGTGATGAAGGATCCATTAGCCTGGAAAGGGCAGCATAGATGTTTTCCTGCAAAAGATTCATCCTTCTTACCAGCTATAAGGGAGAAATAGGTTTCGACTCTAAGTGATGGAAAGATGTGAGGATATGTCAGTTCGAAGTGACGTTTGGGAAACTGAACCCATTTGGTTCTGAGATTTTGAACTGCTTGGTTTCACGGAACATTTAATCATAAGCAGACAGCATAATATCAGTGAAGTTGAAGTTGCGTGCCTTCAAGTTGTTTATGATCTATCCCAGGCACTTCAGCCCTCCAGGGGTTTTAGGCCCTTTCCTTTCCCCCCTCATGAGGAGCGTTCCCTTGTAGATCTTCACTCTCCCCTCTCCTCCAGGCGAGGCTTCAAAGGCATCCAGATTACGCCCGTTTGCTGATTTGTTGCGGCAGGCACATTATTTCGCCATGATGCTGTGATTTGACAGTTTCTCAGTTGACACATTGTGGCAGGTGAGGATTGACTTCTGTCACCCCAAAAGTCTAAATGGCAGTCCAACAAATGCATGCCAAAGAAGGACATACTTCAGTTGGAATACCGTCTCATAACAAATCACTGACGTTTGTAACAATGTGGATACATTCTTTCATGTATGAAACAAATAACATTGCAAAGCAACTTTTAAGCCCATGTTATTCCACTTTTTCATCCATGTGCCATATTTTGGCACATGTCCACAACTAGTTGTGGGCCTAAATACTCTACAGCAGGCATAGGCAAACTTTGAACCTCCTGGTGTTTTGGACTCCAATTCCCACAATTCCTAACTGCTGGTAGGCTGTTAGCAATAGTGAGGCTTGAAGCCCAAAACACCTAAGGGCCAAAGTTTGCCCATGCCTGCTCTAAAGGAACTAAATCCTGTAATCATGGAAGCTAAAAAGCATGATAAACAGTTTAGCAAAGATATCAAAATTTGTGTTAGAGCCACCGCAAACTAGTGTTTTGCGAGAGCAAACTGTGCCAGCACGGCCGATGCTCCGCCTCTTTCTCCGCCTATTTCCCTTTGCTAGGGCAGCGATGCGAGCGTACTCTCGTGCCGCCGCAAACTACAGGAAGCGAGAGCGAGCTTGCGCTCGGGCTTGCTCCGAAGCCCCGCCTTTTTCCCCCCGAGGCTGCTCTCTCTCTTGCTAGCGTGCCTGTTTTCCCTTGCTGAGGGCAGCAATGCGAGCGTACTCTCACAGTTGAATTCTGCCAACAGCGAGAGTACGAGAGCGAGAGTACGCTCGCATCGCTGCCCTAGCAAGGGGAAACAGGCACGCTAGCAAGAGAGAGAGCAGCCTTGGGGGGAAAAAGGCGGGGCTTCGGAGCGATCCCGAGCGCAAGCTCGCTCTCGCTTCCTGTAGTTTGCGGCGGCTCTTAGAGAAGAGCAGCTAAAGCATAACAGACAAAAAGATTTACTTGAAAGAAGGACTTTATTTCCCATGTTTTTGTCTAGTCTGTGAAGTCTCTTATCCGAAGTGCCTGGGACCAGACTTTTCAAGTATCTGAGTTCTGTGGGATTTTGGAGTATTTGAATGTACATAGTAAATGGGAAGGAAGGGTTCCAGTCACATGTTCAGCTTCTGGCTTTTTTTGTTCGGGAATCTTGGACACGTACAGGAAAGTTGAGTTATGGATTCATTATTGTTAAAAGTGTGACTTCTTGATATGATTGATCTAGGAAAAGAAAGATTATTGCTATTGCAAATTACCTTTTCTTTGCATTCTGCCCAAAGGGGTGAATTTTACAATAGTTACTTTTGCTTAGATTTACATACCTATTTCTCCCTAGTAGTTTGCTGTGAGATATGATTCATTAGAAAAGTGGAAAGTGTTCTATAAAGTGGAAAAGGGGAAGATTGTATTGCAGGTGGATACATTCAGTCACAGGTGGGTTTGCAGGATCTGAGCAACACTATTAGTTCAGAGGGTGACATGAACGCTGTCATTCATTAGTCGGTTAAACAACATAGCTGACTTGATGGCAAACAACAACAACAGGATTCATAATGCATATGAGTGCAATAGGGAAACTAGTTACTTTCCAAGTACATTTTATGTGATTAGATTATGCATGGGCAAACTTTGACCCTCCAGGTGTTTTGTACTTCAATTCCCACAATTCCTAAGCCTCAGCCCCCCCCCCCCCCCCGCCACTTACATTCAATGGCATTATACAATTAGCAAGGACAGTCGATACATAAACAGAGGTATAGGCTTTTCCATCTCCAGCATCTGGAGGCAATGCTTGACTCCAGCCACAGGGAGGTGCTGTCTATCTTCCATGCTGAGGAGTTTTGTTGTCTGTAGACATCCTCCCAATTGAATTGCTGGCATGTCCTTATGGGTGCCTTTTATTACCTCCCTGCTCAAAGCGGTACCTATTTATCTATTCACATTACTGCTTTCTATCTGCTAAGTGGGCAGAAGCTGGGCTGACAGATGGGAGCTCACCTTGACCCAGGCTTCAACTGCAACATTTCAATCAGCAGGATTTTCTACAGCTGGTGGTTTAACCCGCTGTGGTAAAGCCTGGCCCTGCCTGGATTAGAGAAACTGAAACAAAGCTCACCCAGCTCTAAGAACTCCTTATATGGGAAGAGGGCTTCCTTTGCTCTCTGTGCAACTGTCTTGGGAAGAAGAGGAGCCTCTCCTTGGAGGTTGTGCCAATGAATGGGGGCTGCAATCAAAAAGTCCCTGCCACCTCCATGAGAAGCAATCTGGTTTCTTAAAGGGGGTGGGTACTGAAACAAGGCTTTCGGGGCCCGAACTGCTATGTGGGAGGGGACATTTTGTTAGATAACCAGACCCCGGGCTATTTAAAGATTTCCAAACACTTCAGATTGAATCAAAAATTGAATTGGCACCCATTGAAAGCCTTTTTCCCCCCAAGGATCCTTGTTCTGTTTCCACCAGATGTCATGGAGGAGCGAAAATAAATGGAGAAAGTAGGGTAAGAGGCAGTGGGTGGGGAAATAGGCAGCTGCCACATTTGAAAGGCAAATGTGTTCTCCTTTGACAGGGAGCTGGCTCAGCAATTCTCATGGCTGCTATGTAAATAATATTGGTGTTCCAGTAAAATAAAGGTGACGCACAGGAAACTTAGGAGGCAGGCCAGGAAAGGAGTCTTGAGGTGTAGAAATACACAGGGAAGGCTTTTTCTGGGGGAAGGTTCACTTATGGACCTAGTCATTCATCGGGGAGATTAGATTTATTAAATTTTACAAACCATCCTAATACCTGGGTTGCTGTGAGATTAGGCCATGTTCCAGAAGCATTCTCTCCTGACGTTTGGCCCACATCTATGGCGGGCATCCTCAGAGGTAGTGAGGTCTGTTTGAAATTAGGAAAATGTGGTTTATATACCTAT